AATAAATAAATAAATAAATAAATAAATAAATAAATAAATAAATAAAATTTGGAGGACTGGAGATATGACTCAGCAGTTAAGAGCACTAGCTGCTCTTGGAGACGGACCCAGTTTCAATTCCTAGTCCCCATACGTCAGCTAACCACCATCTATAACTCCAGTTCCAAGGGATCTGACACCTTCTTCTGACCTCCTCAGGCACTGCACAACATGGGTGCACTTACATACATGCAGGCAATACACTCATACACATAAAATAAAAGTTCTCGAAAAACTGAGCCTTAAAAACATAAATAAAAGCTGGATGTAGTGGCACATGCCTTTAGTCCCGGGAGAGGCAGAGGCAGGCAGATCTCTGTGAGTTCAAGGCCAGCCTGGTGTATACAGTGAGTTCCAGGTCAGCTGGGGCTACAGGGAGACCCTGCCTCAAATAAATAAAGAAATAAACAAAAAAATTAATCTTTAAATATAATAATGAATGTGATTAGAAATTTAGGCAATTTAATGGGGTATGGGCTGAATGTTTTACACAGCTGTCCAAAATCCCCTGGTCAATTTTTCACAGTATCAAACTGCCATACCTTTGTCTTAAACATGTCTATTTAGTAGGCATCCTTCCTGGATTTCTTAAAAGTCTTTGGTACTTAGTCTACAAAAAACAAACAGATGGAACCATATGCAAAGTACCTAAGCTCCAACCCACATATTAAGAAACAGTACAATAAATATTCTATTATACTTGAGCAACTTGATAAAATAGTTTCCTAAAGTAGAAGTAGCATGTAATGTTATGGGCTAGTTCACCATTTAACTTTGCTATTCAATTAGGATCTGAGAACTCACAAGTACACATTTCACAAGATTACTCTGTTCCCAGGGCTAAAGAGATGGCTCAGTGGTTAAGAGCACTGGCTGCTCTTTCAGAGGACCTGGGTTTGATTTCCAGCATCCACATGGTAGCTATCAACCATCTATTTAACTCCAGTTCCAGGGGAATCTGACACCCTCTTTTGACCTCTGTGGGTGTTGTATGCAGGACACGGGTGTACTTACACACATGCAGGCAATACACTCATACACATAAAGTAAAAATAAAAATAAAATTTTTATAAAAAAATTACTGTTCCCTCCTTTTCCTCATTCCAATTTTTTAAAAATTGAATTTTAAATTGCAAATAGGCACTCGTGTATATCACCTACAGAATGAAATTAACACACATAATTTAAAATGTTACGAATTTCTCTTACTTTTAAAAATGGGGACTCTTCCAACATGTTAAGGAACTCAGGGAAGTAATCTCCCACTTCTTCATCAACTGCTCCCACCAAGCTTATTTGTCTCATTGGACCAGCTCTGTAAGTACCATGAGAATACGTTCTTTTTACCTGAAGAATATGAATTTAATTAAAAGTTACACATAAAGCACTTACTATCACTGTACAACAATAAATTACATCATTTTAGCCTACTAGAATGTAACATGAGGCAAGAAAAAGCAAAAAAAAAACCTTCTACTCACAATATTAGGTATTTTTTAATGCATACTAATCAAGCAAGCTATTCTATCTTCCTTTTCTATTTCTATGAACTACTTATTTGTGAAGAGTTGAGCTACAAAATACAACTTAAGCAGCAAACTGTAACAGCTCCTTGTAATACAAAGTCATTACTTAATATATAATGCCACTAAAGTTATGTTCTAAAGCTGGCCCACCTACATTTTTCTAAAGTGATAGCTCCTAGCTTTTTTATTACAATTGTCTAATCACCCCACTACCACTAGTTTATATGTCAAAAAGACCACTAGAGCTGATCATCCACTCCAGATCTCAAATTTTAATTAGCAGCCATTTACATTTATATCATTAACTCTTATGAAAAACTGATAGAAATTCAGAACCAAGAATCCTAAGTCACAAATTCACCTTTGCTATTATCACCTATGCTATTCATCAGCTATGCAAATTTTTTGTGCTGTTTTCCTTAACTGTAATGTTTTAACTTCAGACTACAGAAGAAAATATAATCATTTATATAAACCACCTGTTAAAATGCTAGCACCGGAATGGCATTAAAACATTAAAGCAGCCTAAACCTTCAGAAAATCTCCTGGATTTTTCACATGCACATTTAAACTCTAACAGAACTATATGCTTTTATATACTGACACTACAAAACAGTAGGTATTAATTTAAGCTTCTTTGCATAAACAAAGTTTAAACAAAATCCTAATGATCATTTTCTCTGAATTAAGGCTTTATGGTCACTATATATAGGAGATCAACTGAACTCAGTTTGCCCAGGATTAACCTTGTTTTAAAACAAAATCTCATAATGCAAATGGTCAAACTATATTCACATTATGAAATCCTCAACAATGGCAGGTGGCATAGTATCAATATATGCAAAGTACCTAAGCTCCAATCTGAATATTCTAAGAAACATGACAATAAATATTTTTATATACTAAAATAACTTAAGGCATTAGAGAATTTATTTTTATCATAATGAGTAAAACATTAATTCCTTAGGTTTATTTACAAGAATTCCAAGTTATTTTTCATTAGTCATCATAAATTCACTTCTAAGAACCACGGTCTATTCCTCCAAGACCAAATCACAAAATTTATAGTCTGTATCCATCTTACATTCAGAGTCTCATCTTTTTTTTTTTTTTTTTTTTTTTTTTATGTAGGGTTTTGTCTCTTAAGGTGCTATCATCTCCTACATTAACAAAACTAAAAGTTAAAACTTGACTCTACAACAATCTCAGGCACTAACAACACAGTAAGAAAACTGGTCATCGGGATCCATTTCAGTAAGGTAGTCTTTAACAAGGCTAAGGGTATCGAGCTGAACTCTATCAAATACACCAGAATATGACACATAGAATTCTGTTAAATGATTGCTTGTGATCTCAAACCATAGATTGAAATCTGCAGTGATCATGAGCTATGGAAACTCTAAGGACATTAAACAGTGAAATGAGGGGCTGGGGGGTGGGGGAATCTGAGGACAAGTACTTCTTGCCTGGCATTTATAAGGTCCTGGGATTAATCCCCAGCACAGGTAGGGAGAGATAAGAGAAAAAGTGAATCAATCTATACTTTAACACAGAAATTTTCTAAGGGTTTTGAAATATAGCATTTCTATTTCAAAGGCACTACAGGATTGTTGTATTTTCATTTCAAACAAATATATAAATGTCTTGCACATCAATTTATGTAAATATTAGCGACCTCACCTAAGTCACTAACTAGCTCTAAAACTAAGCCAGAATAAAATAAATCCTTGGCACCCATGTTTAAACAAAAAAGACAGAAGTATAACATTACTAAATTATGGAGAATGAGATAAATATATGTCCATGTTATTACATGAAAGTATCAACAATGATCAGTTTAATAAGGCATGCAGAGGCAGGCCGGATGTGGTGGTGCACATCTTTAATTCCAGCAATCAGGAGGCAGAGGTAGGTGGATTTCTGTGTGTTCAAGGCCAGCCTGGTCTATTATACAGAGTGAGTTGCAGGCCAGCCAGGGTGATATAATGAGACCCTGTCTTTAAAAACACCACCACCACCACAAACACACACACATATACACACCCCAAGTTATATAGTTTCTCATGGGAGGAGAAAGTGGCCTTTGAGAAAACAATTTTCAGTGAATGAATTCCTCTAAAATACTAAGTACATTTCAATTATGAGCTCTCCCCCAAACATGAGCATGTTTAATACCCTTTTAAAGCAAAAATCAAATGGACATTTTCCCCCCAAGGTATGTATTCATGAATTAAATACATGCATAGAAAAAACATACCAAGAAAGAACACTGTCTAATGTGAATTTAAGAGCAATTTAGGGAAGCTGGAGGGTTGGCTGAGCAGTTAAGAATGCTCCCTGCTCTTGCAGAGGACCCAGGTTCAATTCCCAGTATCCAACCACCTGTAACTCCAGCTCCGGGGATTCAATACCCTCTTCTGACCTTCACAGGCATCGCACAACAAGGGTGCACCTACCTACATGCAAGCAATACACTCATACACGTAAAATATCTTTTTTTAGAAGAGCAATTTAGGGGCCAGAGGAAACACAAGTCTGAAATTATGAATCAATTTATCTAATATGTAAATGAAGGCACACTATACTTGAAATAATTTAGGTAACTCTACAAGAGGTGGGGAGGGGGGAGATAAACCTGATATGGCAGAACACATCTATAATTCTAGCACTTGGGCGGTGAAACAGGGTGCTGTGAATCTAGGGCCTGCTGAGGGAAGGAGAGAGGCCAGTACTATATATTTATATACATCATAACTGAATCTAACTCACGACTAAGTAAGAACAAATACAGATACAAGAATCTCTTACATTCATATTGGTCTCTCTTTTAGCCAATATGTACTAAGAATGTAAGGTACAGTCCATTGACCTATTACTAAAACCAAAGATAAATTTTATTTTAAAATATGGTAAATCCAATTAGAGAATTTTTATTGGAAAGAATTCTGCATTCTTACCTATTATGCTTTAAACAAAACTAATTTTCTTCTATGACAATCATTCTCCAAATATTAAAGACTTTACTATGATAAACCAATTAGAATATTAAAAAATAAATCAAAGGCATCAAATGCTAATTGGCAAAACTATGCTGTAATACAACTTTTAACCCAATATATCAAACCCATATGAAATAGTGTACACCTCTTGATAAAATACAAAGATGACTAACAAAAGACAAAATAGCCGGGCGTGGTGGTGCACACCTTTGATCCCAGCACTTGGGAGGCAGAGGCAGGCGGATCTCTGTGAGTTCAAGGCCAGCCTGGTCTACATAGTGAGTTCCAGGGCAGGGGCTACAGGGAGACCCTGTCTCAAAAAGACCAAAAATAAAAAAGAGAAAATATATATACTTTTCAGGGCTGGAGAGATGGCTCCTTGGTTAAGAGCACTGGCTGCTCTTGCAGAGGACCCAGATTCAGTTCCCAGGACCCAAATGGCGGCCCACAACTGACTATAACTCCAGTTCCAAGGGATATGCCACCCTTTTCTGGCCCCTGTGAGCGCTGCACATACATGATGCACTTGCATACATGTAGGCAAAACACTCACACATAAAATATTTTATGCTTCTCATAAAAACAGAAATGCTTCTTATTTTGGTGACCCTTGTTTTACTGCAACACTGTAATATTCAAAATTCACTTATTATATAGGATAAAGTTAAGTCTATAATACCACATGAAAATAAAACCTCTAAAAACCACTGTGAGTGGCCCAAAAGGCAGTGGGATGAGAGAAGGGAAAAGATAAGAATCTTTAAACAGCTAAAGCAAAGGTCATAAAAGACTATGGCTCATAAAATTTCCCCATTGTACATATGTGCTCCTCTATTAAGCACATTATAATAATCTCTCAGATCACAAGAGTAAGAAACCACAAATTTGGAATGGAGGAGGGTCAAGAGGCAAGCACAGCTGCTGCTGCAGCTCTGGAGCATCTGTATTACATCAGCATAATGACAAACTGGTATTGAAATAAAAGCTAAGTTATGTTATACATTCAGTAAATCAGTATCTTTATTAAAATCTTGGCAGTTAAAGCTGTATATATCCATTAATTAGAAAAACCACTTATCTGGAAAACTTCAAATCTTGATAGGTCTACCATTAATACTTGTTTTAGTAACTTCAGAAAACCGTTAACCCGCTAGTTTTCTGATACACTTAAAAATATTAAGCTGTGGGGCTGGAGAGATGGCTTAGTGATTAAGAGCACTTCCTGCTCTTCCAGAGGACATGAGTTCAGTTCCCACCACCCACATGGTTACTCACAACCTTCTATAATTCCAGTTCAAGGGGATATGACCTCTTCTTCTAGTTTCTTCAGGCATTGCACGCACATGGTACACTTACATACATGCAGGTAAAACATTCATACACATAAAATAAGTAAATGTTTTTTTAAAAAAAACTTCAAAAGATATCACTGCATCCTAAAAAATAAATGCACTGAATTATAAAGACTATACATATATTGATTTAGATAGATAGATAGTATCAAAAAGAGCAGAATAAAACACAAGCATGAGATACTTAGTCATATATTTTATAAAAGCTTATATTTACACATTGCCTTTTAGAAGACATGTAACATTTTTTTACCTAAATCTTACTATAAACCTCCCCCTCTCCAAAAAAAAAGGTCTAAGATTATCATAATTGCATTTTTTTTTTTTACTTTTCTTCCAACTATATTCCCTATAAATGTTAAAGGAAAGGGGAGAGACTTCTTAACAAAATCTCAAATACTGGTTAAGCAAAAATGAATGAATTATACTTGAATTAAAATACTCTTCATGAATGGGTGTGGTGGTACACA